CAAGTAGAATTAAAATATTTGTTACCTACTTTAATGGTAGAATGCAGTGCCATAACTCTTCTTCAATGTGGTACCTTCTCCATGTGGTACCATAACTCTTCTTCAAGGGAAGAACTTTTTAAAGTGGAATATTAACAATTTTGACTGAACAATAATGAAAAATACTCCTCCATGTGCTTTCTTTGACAGATCTCTGTAGTTAAATCCTCTACACACAAGAAATTCATACACAATTGCACATGCATGAAAAATTCCAGATAATTGAGCTTAGAAGTATTGAAAATAAAGTTTTATCTTTGCTACAATAAATAATTTTGGGTTATTAAAAGATTACCTGATGAAGTCAATGGTTGTAAATTCCTTTTTTTGACAGAAAACATTATCAATTGAAAATGATGATTTCCTCATAGTCAGAAATACATAACTGATGGCAGGCATTTATCATTCTCATTATCTCTATTGTCCACCCTCCTGTGGTAAGGCAAGTAGGTTTAATTATCAGGGTCTAATGTGCTTGAGTAGAAACATCAAATGAGGAGAGGGATATTACAGGGGGAAAGAGGCAGGGCTAGGTGAGGATATATTGCACACCAGCCCTAGGTAGTTTTACATGATACTATGGGTTAAGAAAGAGAGTAAGATATTTTGTGGAGGAACTGTGACACTCAGAAATATTAAATTTCTAAGCTTTGAAATAAAATAGCACTCAGCATCTTACCTTCTGGCAAAGCAAAAAATTAGTTCTTGTATATGGAAGTAGAAGAGAGGTAATTTCCATTTCTAAGCAGCTAAACCATCTCTTTATATATAGTATATATTACCATATATCTTATGTATAAGATTTGCTTTATACAAAAATTTATTAAGGCTTATGTATTAATGTTGTGCATTCTAAAAATTCAAGAACAATTTTGAAGGGAGAATTGGAAAAAAAAGTCATATTTCATGTCAAGGAAACAGATTAAATAGATAACAATAGTTAAAAAACAGATTCATGATTGTCATGTAATAAATGTAAAATGCATTTATCAACTGGCTATGCATATAATGAGTCACAGCTTCCACATATATATATATATATTTGTTATTGACATGTGTAACTCCTTAAGTGTACCTATTAATTGCAAACACTGGAGTACAGTCTGTTCTCATTTTAAATTGCTTTTCTATATGCATATTAGAAAGAGATAACTTTTTAAAGATAAGATTAAATCTGAGAAACTGAGGTAAAAAATTATTTAACTCTTTGAGGGACAAATATTATTTGTCTTTTAGAAACCGAAGAGAGGGTTGAACAGGCAGAAGTTTCAGTAGAACATCTGAAAATATCTCCATGAATGAAAGTACAGAAAATGGATATTTTTTGTCCCTTTCAGATACCCACATCCTTATTTTAATTAGCTTGCTAATATAAATACAGCAAAGTTGTTGTATTTTTTAAATAACTCTTTACTGAATATGTCAACAAGATAATATATAGTGTATAGTGAGGTTTTGAAGTTAACAATGCGTGCAACATGGCAGATTGCAGAAAACAGGTAACGCAGACTTCAAACCATCTATTTTTCCATGTTAAAGATAGAAAGTATACCAAACACAGAACAGAATCAAGTGTGCATATCTCAGTTTAAATCAATTTTATGAAAGATTACCTCCAGATATTTGGGATCAACTCATGATAACAATTTGTTTAGTAGCTTATCTGTTTCTGAGAGGATCAGAATTCAGCTCTCATGAGGCACATTTCCACAGAGCCCCAGTGTAATAAAAGGTTGCCAAATCTCTTCTGTGCTAGTTTTCCATATGGACTACTAGCCAGCGTCCTTTTAAAGAGTAAAACATTCTCTGCTGTACAAAAGTTTAATGCCAAATGCTTCAAAATTGCCTGTAGTATCATCTGGGATACAAAGTGCCCTGTTCAATAGAGTTCAGGGAAGGAGTGATCATCAGCTTCCTAGGATTATCTCTGTGTTTAGAAGAGAGCATCAGGCAGGATTTGATGAGGTTCAGAGCCATAACTTTTGGTTTTGGCACTCACTTCTGTTTTGTTTTTCCACTGAGCTGTAAAGATAAGTCATGTGTAAAACCATTATTCTCATGTTCTAAATAAAAAAACTTTAATATCTCCATGTTAAATTTAAGGTGAAGAAGTACTATAAATGTAGAATTCAATGGGAATTAACCACTTTACTGTCAAAAGCTGAGACTGAACTTTCACTTCAATGCCTTTAATAAAGTGCCTTATGTAGACCCTTAAAACAATAATATCACTATGCATAAAGTTTTTCTGTTTGCAAAATTTAAATTAATAAATTTTTCAGAGGGAGAAACTTGTTCTCATGAAAAAAAGAAAATTCTTCTGAGAAAAATATAGTTGAATTACTCTAGTAGCAAATATCATATGCTACTTCATTTTTCTGTTTTTCATGATATTCACTGTAGTCCTTTATTGGGTTACATGGAAAACTGCTAGTATCTTTTCAGATCAAAGTATCTTATTCCGTAAATATTCTTATAAAGAAATTCAGTAATAATGTTCCAATAAGAACCTGTCAACACAAAGTCCATGCATTAATCTGGTGTTTGTTTCTTCCAGCAAGCCACATGCAAGTAGCACTTACTAAAGTGACAGAATCCATGAAAATAAGGACCTGTTTGTAAATATATATGTCTTCAGAAGGAAGCAAGTACTGGGAACAGCAGTGTTGTGATGCTTCTTTAACACAATTTCATTTAAATGCTTATTTTATTCTACACCAATCTTTCTGCATGTCTGTGTCAACTATTAGCAGTATACAATGGAAGATGGGTAAGATTTTGACTGAAAAAAAATTTGTCCCTAGATCCAATGAACTTGATCAAATCATGACTTAAAAGTGAACATTTTGAGTGAGTTGCACATATACATATTTGGCACGTCTGCTCTATAGCCTTTAGTTATTATGTGTGGTCGGATATCTGCCCTAAGTGAAGATCACCCAAGTTTTACAAAGCCCAAGGAAGAAGCTACTAGTCTTAAACTTGATATTGCCAAGAGATTGTTGTCCATTTTTAACTCTGACTTTTTCTACATACTTTACCTAGTGAAGTTTGCTTGCTAAGTGCTTATCTAGGTGGGAACTGAAATGAAAACTCAGATGTTTGTGTGGCTGACACTTTGAAAAGTCCAAAATTCTGTTGTAGGTTGAAATACATTAACCCTTTTGGAGCTAAGGAACAATTAAATAGGGAGAAACAGTCTTCAAATTACAGATATGACCTTTCAGTTGACTACAACTCTGAATTTTTTAGATAATATTCCCAGCTCTATCCACAAATTTTGGTATGAGGCGCTAGCAATGTTTTTTCAGAAGAGCCTTTATAGTAAAGAAACTTTTGTCAGTATCACATACAAATGATTTTTTTTTCATACTGAAGAGAAGCATAAAGTAGGCTATCTTTAATATCATTGTGATTTTTGATCTAGGTAAGCGAGTCATAGTCTACATATATATATATATGTATATATATACAAATACATATATATGTTTCATCATTCAAGATCAAAATAAACAGTTTGTGAATGCCTTCTCTTTTCACCCTATTCATAAGTAACCAGATTTGTTGTCATCAGGTTGGGCTTGTGGGTCATTCACCTGCAGTACAGGTCAAACTCCCTGAATATTGCTATAAATAAGGTGCCTATAGTATACTGAGGTCTAGAACAGAAGATTCCTCCTGCATCAGTAAATACTAATCAGCTTGTACTTTCAAAGGAGGCCTTTTGAAACCAAATGTACAACCAGTTATTTCATTGAAATTAAATACTATGTCCACACCCAATGGGAATCACTGGCTCTGTTTAACTTCAAGCAAACTCCAGCATTCAACAGAAGTGTGCAGAAGCACAACTGTTTGCTGCTTGTCCTTTGAGCTGTGGCATCTAAAATATGTTAAAGAAAACCAAAACAAATTAAAAAAAAAAACCCAAAAAAACACCAAAACAAAAAACCAAAGCCCAAAAGTATAAACCTTATCATCAGTAAATAGATGAAAGAAAAAACCCGTCCACTTTGCATAGACATTTCTGCCTAGAATTATGCTATTTGAAATCATATAAACTTTTAATCAGCCAAATTTTAGTGACTTAACTATGACAGTAGCCACACAGGTTGCTTAGAATACCCGCTATAGCTGGAGAAAATAGCTAATATATGGAATATAGACTGGAATTTCAAAATGTTATTTTAAAAGGTGTTGCTGAGAGGAAGTGGTTCCTTACAAAATGGTTGTACTTTGCCATCAATCATAACTGGGTTCATTTTGTCATTGCAGACAATTAGTGTTATCATGTGATCTGAATTACAGAAAATACGTGCTCATAGACCACTGAGTTTCAAGAATGGGTTGAGTGAAATGAGCGAAGGAAAGGATTAAAACCCTCTTTTCCAGCATAAGGAGCTCATAAAGTGAAAAGTCTAAGCATTCCACTGTGCTTCAGCCTTTACTTCAAATCCACATGCAGCAACTTTCTCTCTATCCCTTGGTGATCACTGTAAAACTTTCTCTCTTTGGTTCCCTACTACCTCTGGGAAGTTTTGTCTCTATCTTTTTTCCTTTTCTTTTTTTTTTTCCTGATGTGATGTAGCTTTAGCTTGTCCCCAAACTCAGGAGAAAATTAGCTACATTAGAAAAGCAAACTGAAAAACCCCCAAATAATTAGATTCCACCACAGTTCTTGGCAGTCACTGAGTTTGCAGAGCAGCTAAAATATTACATAATATTGAGAGCTGCATTATGGTTTTAATACAAGCATGATGTTTTGCATGGTGCATGTTAAGCTCAAGGACTGAGAAGAATCTGAGGGTATACAAAACCAAATTCTAAACGCAGCTACTTCTTGTGGAACAGAAATCATTATGGAAAACTTGAAAATGCTCAAGGTAAAAGAAGGGTAATTCAGAGGGACACTGTGTACCTTGTGTTCTCAAAATTCCCCAGTCAATCAAATGCTTAACTAATGTCAGTCTCTGTATACTTTAATTGGGAAGGAAAAAAAGCAAAACAAACAAACAAACAAAACCCACAAAGATTTGTACATGATTTTCCCCACTGAAGATATTTCAGTTTATAATAGCCCTCGAGGTCTTCCCAGTACTAATAATTTTTTACAATATATTTCTTGTTTGTTTTCTCTTTTTGTCTTTTTTTTCTCCTATTTCTCCATACTGAACATAACTCAGGCCCTTAAGTCAAACAAGGCTTGAACCATACAAATTATTAGCAAAAACCTTTGCATTGCCATTACATTTTCAGCAATATGCACTCTTAGATTTCAAATTACATGAACACATACATGAATACTGCAGAGCTGGGAGCACTCAGAATTTCCCTCATTCTGGCCTTACCTGAACATGCTATGTCAACAAATGATGGTCTATTAAGAGGTGCAACTTAATGACAGCTTTCTGTTAGGTACTTTTACATAACCTTCACCTCCCACTGAGAAGGGTCAGAGAATGCCTAAAGCTTCTTAATCCTAATGAAAAGCACAAACAGTTTCTGAGATAAAGTATATAGTATTGGGGACATTTTTGGAGCAACTTTTGCAAATAGGAATCAAGGTCACTTTGTGTTTGACACAGTTCTTTCCACATTTCCTATTCCAAGTAGATTGAAAGAAAACTAATCAAACATGAGAGTAGCTTTTTTGGCAGCACTCAGAACTCCAGCTTTCAGTTGGAGGTGAGAAGTGCAGACCTGACAAAGAGGAAAGGATATATTTCCAATTGTTTGAAGCTCAACAGCAACTGCTGGGTTCAAGTCAGAAGGGTTGTGCCCATTTTATCTGAATTGCTTTTCTCTGTTCCTAGTGACCCTGTTTTAATATGCACTTATTTTCCTGTATTCCAGGACACCTAGAAACTTAACATCCCTCAGACTGCTTCGACAGCAAAGTGGTTAATGTTTGAAGAATGAGTCATTCTTTCCTTTGCCATGACATTGGGTTCTTATTGTACAACCCTGTACAGTACTCAGCAATAGTTTTTAAAGATTTAAAAAGCAAAGAGTTACAAAACCATTTGCAATTAACTTGAAATAGAAAAGATAGCACTTTTTTTTAAATCCCATTATATAGTACACCGTATAAATTACAGAGTATTCAAATGCATAAATGCATCTGTGTAACATTTATCAAATGTAATTTTTTTCATTATTCTTGGGGGGCTAATTTTTTCTAGAGTTTTTCTCCTTGTCCTAGAGACCCCCATGGTCCCTCACTATCACGTATGACAGTGCTCCAGGTCTGAGACGTTGCTGTTGCAGTATCGCATGTTGTTGGGGATGTGGCAGTCTGTGTAGTTAATGCCCCCGTTTGGGGTATAAATGGGCTGCAGTCTGAAATCTCCTTTAAGGAGCTGATCATTATTTAAGGAGACAATCTGGAAGCTGGTTTCCGTCATCTCCAGGATGGAGTTGTCCTTCTTGGTCCCTGCCTCACAGTAGTCATCTTTCCGACGGCCCCGGTTATATTTCCACTTCTGGGAGGTGTAACGACCTTTTTTGTGCATGTGCCAGCAAAAAATGCTGAGCAAGACCACGAGGACAAGTATCACTGCACCCCCAATCAACCCTGCCAGCAGAAATGGGGAGCCTAGGTTCTGAGAAGTCGTCTGCTCATGGCTGGAAGGGATGTTGCTGCCATTGAAAAAGGAAGCCTTGGTTGTGGCTTCTGAACAGACAGTGTCTTCTCCAGTCCGGTAGTTGTTATAAGTATCCAGTGGAACCAAACAAATCCGGTAAGTGGATTTGGGCTCCAGATTTACCAAGCTCGATTGCTGCTTCTCACCACTAATTATTCGTTCATGAACAATTCCTCCTACCAGACTATGGCCCATTTTAACCCATGTGAGTTTATATGCCATCACGGTAAAAAGTGACATCCAGTTGACTTGGATGCAAGTGTCATTCACAAAGTGGATGGAGAGCTGAATCCAGTCAGACAAAGGAGGTGTCACCCTTTCTCTGTCCTCCCTGTCAGGCACAGTGGGGAGTGTGGCTATGATGGGAGTGAGAGGATTATATTTACTACTTGAGGGAGGAAATGATGGGCTGGGAACTAATGTAGTTGGCATGGTTGTAGCTGGGACTGGGGTGATGATAAGTGGCAGACCAGGGGTGGTGGTTGGGCATGACAACATATTCATATTGAGCTCCCTGACTGCCATACCTCGGACCTGCTCTGGTCCCTGGCACATAAAACCACGTACATTGATGGAAGCAGGAATAAATTTGAGCCATTCAGTGACCCACTTAATGCTGCAGTCACATAACCAGGGATTATTCCTTACAGTGAGTTGTCTCAGGCTATGGAGATTATCAAATACTCCCTTTGCCAACATCCGAAGTTGATTGTTGGAAATATCAAGACGTTCCAGTTTGTGGAGGTTTGAAAAGGCTGTAAGTGGTATATGGGTTATCTGGTTGTCCTGCAAGTAAAGTCTCAGCAGATGTGTACCTGGAAGATCGGGAGGAGGGTGAGTCAGTGAATTCCGAACTATTGAGAATTCCTTGAGCTTGGAGAGGTGGCTAAAGGTGCCTTCAGCTATGCCTTTATTAGTGAGGAGATTGCCATCCAAGATCAGACGCTCCAGACTTGTAAGATTCTGGAAGGCCAGGTCTGAAATGACGGCAATTCGGTTTTCGTCTACACGAAGTTCTTGTAAGTCCAGCGGAAGGCCTACTGGCACACTGCTTAAGTGATTCTTGGACAGGAACAGAAGCTTGAGGCTGATGGCTTCCTGGAATGCCCCATCCTCAACGCCAACAGTGGAGATGGAGTTGTCATCCAGGTGCAGTTCTTCCAGCTTCAAAAGCTGAGCAAGAGCAGCACGTGAAATGGTCTGAATGTTGTTTTCCTGCAGGTGGAGAACCCTGACATTCTTGGGCAGGTTCATGGGGAATTCATCCAATTGATTGCCATACAGGTAGACTGTGTGCACAGACTGGACATTGTGCAACTCTGCAGGAAATCCAGCATTATTAATTTGGTTATTATGGAGGTAGAGGACGGTTACACCCTCCGGTATCCCAAGAGGCACTGAGGTCAAGCTTCGTTCATTACAGTAGACAAAGTTTCGGTCACAGCGGCAAACTTTTGGGCAGGCCAGAGTTTTGGAGACCTGTATGTAGAGCCCCAGGGAAAAGATAAGCCATGATTTCATGAGAAGAGCCCAATCTGTGGGCCACATTTTAGTCCACAAACCCATTTCTAATTTAAAGAAATAAAGTACCAAAGTGTTTAAGAACTGATAACAATAATAACGCACAGGTAACAAAATCTCAGGTCATTAAAATTGGCTTCTATTTATGTCCAGTGTTCAGGCCAGAGTTAAAGTCTTGGAGGCTAAGCATAAAATAATCCTTTTATAATTGGCCTGCCTCCTACTTCTGAACAGGAAAACACAGTCCTATTAGCCAGGGTTACAATGTTTGTTGCCTTCCTCCATGTGTGCTGAAAGAACCAGTAGCTATGTCTTTGCAAATGACCCACAGGTTACTTTAAAGCTACCAAAAGTCTCTGTGCTTGGAGGTGTATTTCACTGAAGTCCGTTGGCTTCTGTCAGCTTTCTGAAGTCAGCAAAGTCCTCATATTCACTATCTGCCAGATCTGGTCTGCCTGTAGAAGGAAAGAGAAAAGAAAAATCTGAATAGCATGAAACGTTTAATAAGGAAGATTAAGCCCATTAGAAGACTATTCTAAGTCTGAGCTCTTTATGGATTTCGGGAAAAAAAAAAAAGGAAAAGAAGGGCATTAATATTAAACATTAGCTTAATATTACTGCTAAATAGTCTTGAAATAGATTTGATGCAAAGTCATTGCAATGACTGAAGGACTTTCAGTGACTTCAGAGAAGGCTAGATCTATTGCTTTCATTTGCATACTATACCTCCAGTCTTTGTCCTCTCACAGTCTGTTTAAAATTTTAGAACCAAAAAGAACCCAAAAACCTAAACCATTTAACTGGTAATTTTTGCTCAGGTAATTTTTTTTTTTTTTGCGAACCACTGACTTCAATGACTACTATTCACTGATGCCTGACAGAGTAGACTCTGGCCTGTATTATTTAATCACATTCTATGTTTTTTTTCATTTTCTACCAGACTCTGGAATATTCTGCTTCTATTTCTGTAATACCATTACATATATTGTCCAAATTAATGCACACTGCCAGATTATTTTGTCTTGCTCTAATGAATTAGAGACTTATGAGAAGAGTCTTTTAAACAAGTATGGTAGTCCATGAATGTAAGACATGTACTTGCTAAAACTATCATCTTGATATTGGTTCTGATGTGAACTGTGCTGTCAACAGATTCCACAACTTTCCACTAAATGAAACAGGCTCACATCTGCTAAGTTATTGTTTCAGGAGATCAGCTCAAACTATGGCAGTTTTGTAGAACACTTCCTTTGAAACCATAAAGGTTAGATATGGCTTTTAATTTTGCTACACAGTTATCTGTGAATGGCTACATAAACAAGTGTGTTAACTTTAGTATAGCTGAGTTCCTTAATGTGTATTTTCAGCTTGTAAGCATACTTTTTATGTTCACAGCTACTATTTATTATTCAGATCTATAACCAAACATTCCCACTCTCCAAAGCATGCAATGAAAGGTACTTTGTTGTTTGATGCTGTCTTGTCTTGTTATATGTTGTTTCCAATGATTGTCACCCCATCCTCCCCTCCAATTGCATAGCTGGACCTAATGAAGGATAGCAGCCTTGGCAAGTACAAAGCATGTGCAGATCTCAGGGTCTTCAATTACAGAGACATAAGCACAGTAATTTTCCAGGTTTTGTTTATCCAGATCAAAGCTCAGGCTAGGATTTCAAGAAAATAGAATTTTAGTGAACAAAATCCTGTTTCTTAATGGTGGTTGATTTTTTTAAAAATTTTACTGTTATATTTATATTTATTTAAACAAATTAAGAACATTCAGGTCATTCAGAAAGAAACTTACTTTGGTCATACATAAAACCTTGTTAGTCTGATACAGCTGTGCAGTTTGTAACATGTCCCTCATGCTACTTTTGGGAATCCTATGGACTGGTAGTGTAGAAAGCATCCTTACGAGTCAAACTGTTATAAACCTTCAACCTTGCACTTGCAGATTACTGTATTTATTTAGAGCATCATCAGGTATCAGCCTCAAGGTTAAAACAGCTGGAGATAAAAAAGTGAGACCCTGAAAAATCCTGTTTATCATTATGAATTTAAATGTTAAGATTTGTAAATGTAATACTGTAATACAGCCTATAATGTATTGTCCTTTTATAGAAACAGTAAGATTAGGTACCCCACAGTTCATGGTTTTCTCTCTCACAGGCATATTTCAGTCAAGACAGATTTCTTTTCAATTATGCCAGATGACGTGATACTGTAGAGAAACTCTTAACAGGATTACATTCTAACATGAGCCCAAGTGTGACAGTTTATCTGCCTTTAATACGGCCTGGCTCCCATCTAGATCACAGTGCTCTGATCTGTCATGACACTCTCTTTTAAAATGAGAATGGACATGCAGAGCATCCTCTGAGATGCTCAGGACCACAGAGAGTAATAACAGTTGTTCTCTCACTTTCCTGTCATCATCAGAGAGAGACAGCCTGTACCTCCTCACAGATCCAATACCCTGCACTAAGCTCGCTTCCGAGTCTAAGTCCAGTTACTGATTAAGTTTTATGTCACTCCTGGGTACAATAGAAAGCCCAGCTGAGAACATGCAGCCACAGGCAGCTGCAGTTCCTGGTTTGCTGGGAATGTCCTAAGAAGGGACTGTCATATTAAAACTGATTTATACATTCACCTCCTTCTAGTACTCTGTACAGTGTACTTCTCACCTAAGTAGATGTGGCACCTGAATTAAAGATTTCAGTAATGGTTCAAACATATCAGGTCAAGCATACAGCATTTCTCATTAGATATGATGAGAAAAAGAGCTTTGATTGGACAGTAACTTAGGCAGATTCTGGAGTTTCTCTCCTTTTTTTGTTGCATGGATTTTGCTGTTAGAAATCTGTTAAAACTTTCCTGTTTTCTTCCCCCATGAGGGAAAGAAAGGTAGTCCTCTTATTAATGCCGGTATCCTAAACTCTAGATATCAATCCTTAATAAAGTGATACAAAAAAACCAGTACAGGTTATATGTATTTGGGACTACTCTTGATTGTACTAAGTAAGAGTACAAGGACATATCTAACTAGATATTTATGACCTCACGGCTGACTGTGGTGTGGCAGAGCTAAAAAATGAGGAAGTAAGGATAAAACTGAATGTATTTAAATAACTTTTTTGGGAAGGGTTTTTCTTTGGTAGTCTTTTACAACTGCTTAATACTAACTTAAAATAGGGCTCATAGTTGCTGTACTTTTCGGCATATCTCGGGGACCCTAATGCAAATGTGAGTTCTGTGTGTCAGAAATCTCTACCCCAAAGACATTAAAAAGATAGAAGAGTTGGAAACCTGCTTGATTAAAAAAAAGAAACTTTCTGAATTTAAACTCCAAAAGGCTAGAAAAGTATAAACAGTTTTTTTCTTCAGTAAACTGTCAAAACTGAAGGCAGGTAGAGACACTCAGCTTCCCCTCTCCCCACCATTCCTCACATGCTGGCTTCCTAAAGTAAGCTCTGTTTTCAATATGACTGCAAATACTAAATTGAGTCTCTCTCTGCAAATTTTTTTAGAAGTAGAAATTTATAAGTGGAGGAATTAAAGGCCTTTCTTAGCTATTGTGATTTTAAATCTTGGGATTTGACTGATAAGCTATAGGAAGCAATAACTTTTCTTATTTGAAGTCAGAAATTTCTATGAACCAGTCTAGGTAGAGAAAAAGGCAAGTGTCACAATTAACTTAAAATTTAAGAAATTATCAAGCAAATGCCTCAATAATAACATATCTGTCCATCAACAATTTGGTAATTTTTGTATCTATTTCCTCCCCTGTACACTTGATTTCTATTTTTTCTCACTATACCCTCCTTAGATGCAAGTTGTATCTTCCAAGTGTGTAAGACATTTCCTGCCTTACTGCAGCCAGGATATTAAATCCCATTAGAATTTAAGGAATGATGCAATGAAGTTAAGAAAACTGCTTTGAAATAGATGATAAACTATCACATGTTTTAGGTGGCCAAGTCTGAAAATTTGGCTTAGGAGTTCCTGTAATCAATGGAAATATTTGTTTTCATAACTTACAATACATTTCTGATCAACATTTTTATCTCACTGTCATTTCTCAAACCTGCCTTGCTTAAATTCCCTTTTGACTGATGCTAGCTGGAAAAGAAAAATTCTGGCTTTATGTACTGGATAAAATATAAGGTGTTTCAGTTAAAGATATTTTAAAGGTTGAAACATCTGGCTGCAAGTTGGAAAGGTGAAAGTTTTTTATGAGTCATACCTTTACTGGTCAGAATCCTCCATACAACTTCCAGCCTTTGTCACACTACACGGCCATGCAATAATTAATATATTACTGAAAGTGATGTTCAATTATAAATTTGTGGCATCTAGGGGAAAAAAAAACTATCTCACTAGTAGTCTGCTTAAGGAACTTTTTCCTACCTCACTGCTGGTCTACTTACTGCCTCAGTGGCTCTGCCTACACTGTCTAAAGAATCTCCAAAGCTGCCCTTAGAATCATCTTTGCCATTTTTCACTCTGCAGTCTTCCAAACAAGCAGTCAAGGTCCCTGTGGCTACCTGAGAACCTAGTGAAATTCAGGGAAGATAACAGAGAATAAAGGGAGAAGATAACATGTGGAACTAAGCCTGCATAGGAATTTTACCTATGGCAACACTGGTTACCTATAAGCACAGAGTTCTGAGGTGTTCCTGAAGCCAGGTTGTCTGTCTTCATTAGTCTAAGCATGGTTTACATTAAGGCTACAAATTTTTCAGAGGTAATAAAATTAAGAATGCTTGGCTATTTTTTCCTTCAAGGAACACTGAAAATAATAAAAAATAGGTCAAAGGACTCCAAGGCCTTTTTTCTCTGATAGCCTAACCAGTTAGCATCACTTTTCCCAGCAGTTCACCTGTTTATCTGGACCTGAGTGCCATGCAACATAGATTGAAAGGCAAGCAAAGCCAAAACCAAACAGTCATACTTTTTTCACTATTACGAGGCAGTGACTTTTTTAGCACTAAACCATTTGGCATAAATTTTCTTGGCTGTACTGCAGACCAGGGTTGTAATCGAGTCATATAATCTTACTCTACATAATTATAATACACAGTAAGTACAAGGCTATTATGTCTGTAATTGAATGACAAACAGAAAACAAATCTAATTCCTTTCATATGAAATCTAGTACAGAGCTCCTTGTTCTTAAGAAAAACATCCCTGTGTATCTATCAAGTGGTAACAGGAAAAATTACAGAATAACACCTGACATATGTCTTTTTTCCATACAGTAGAGTTCATATGTGTGAGTGCACACATTAGTGAATATCCTGGTGCTTTGGTTTTTTGGGTTTTTTTTTTTGGTTGGTTTTTTATTTTTTTTAAGTGATTAGGAGCCTTGGGTGATAGTTTGCTGTATATATTTCTCTATGAGTTACTTGGGTTTGAACTTTGTGCTCATATTTTAATTAGAGTCTATAATCTCTGC